TCCTAGCACTCAGTGGGTCTAAATCAACACTATCATTCTATGTCTGCCCGAAGCGATTGCGTCAGCCTTACTCCCGCAGAGTACATCGAACTCCGCACTCTCAGCGATGTGCCAGGTCTGCCTGAGGACGAGCATCTGGAGGAAATGGATGTTGCTGATGAGTGTCCGAGGCGGCTACGAAGTCGCAGTCATGGTCGAATGTGGAGAAGTCTTGCCGAGCCCCGAGTCATTTTCATCAATACCACTCCACAGGCTGATATGATGTATCAAAGGTGCTGCTGTGCTTGTCATCGCTACCACTGCATGTACATGGGTGCGGAGGGCTATCCTCTCGTGGATGAATTAGCACATTTGTCCAAAGGATCGTTATCCAAAGGTTCGGGCAGCAAAAGGAATAACAAGCGCATCTCATTCAACCCGGATCCAGAAATGCGCTCTACCGAGGGAGCAAGATATGGGACAGATGGACTTGACTCAGTGCACACCTCCAGAAGAACTTCTGTGGATCTTACAAAGGAACCAGTACAGTGAGTTTCGGATGGTAGTTGGAAGCTATTCTTGAGACACCTTGCAATACAATATTTTTAATCTGAAATTACGTAATTAATAGCTTCAAAATATGTGCTTCACCGCAATTGTAGGCAAAGTCAAGCAGTGTCCTGTTCTCGTATAACTCAGCACGCGACCGTCAAACCACCACCAAATTGTCGTCCTGACGCATCCTGGACCTCGGGTCCAGCAAAATATTTGCCAAAGGATACTGAAGTTCAAAGCCCAGAGGCGGCTGCAGCTGCCAAAGCAACCATAAAGAGGGTTCTGGAGTCGCGTATGTGTGATTCTGTATTTGGTAGGTCGTTCGACGCTACAGAGACCAAAAGCATCTCAAAAGAGACTCCAACATTTCCGATATCAAATTCAAAATCTGCGAAAAATAAGGCATCGAAAGAAGAAGAAGATTTGAACCAGAACGAGGATTCGAATTCTATGCTAGTACGCCGAAATGAAGATGTTTGCCTTCCCAATGGGGAGGTAGAAGCCGCAAAACAGCGGTTCCTAAATGCTTTAGCGCGGTTTCAAATGGGTTCCTCATCGAAACCAGGTTAGTTCAAATGCAGGTCTCACGTGTTTGGCTTTCAACCTATTTACTAGGATTATTAAGCTGCGCTATTTGACTTCACTGAAGGAAAAGAGTCAAACAAACTATTTACTGCCCC